CTCTTGTCGCCTTCGACGCCCACACGACGAAGAAACTCCGAATCGAGAGCCTCATGGTATCCGCACTGTGAAGACACCACAAGTGACAAACTTGCCTGCTGTAGAAGCCTGAACAGTTGCTGTTTCTATTCCTGACGTTTCTGCACTATAGCTAGGTGGTGTATGATACATGCCTAAACTCCTATCTGACTCTGCTAAGGTTGTCAAGGGACAATAGCCTGTCATAAGTAGCTGGGCTTCCAGCGGATTGTCTCAAGAATGTTCGTTTACAAGTTCACATCTTGGATAAGTTTGGAGAGCCTGGCTTTCCATTCTATCCCCTGAAGTTTCGTACACATACGAGTTCTACCCGTGGAAACGAGATTGGAATACTGTTTCGTGTTCTTGATAATGAGGTTCCCAACTGTGTTCCTGTCTACAGGTGCAGTTTGGGGGCCTGTTCTGACATACTTACGTGCAGGCCAGAAAGGAAGTGCGACTGTAATGGAATCACATTCAGGGTGTCCATAGCGGGAGTCAGGAGCGAGAACATTCCAGGTTTGCTCGCTGTTTTCTGCGCCTTTGGAGAGTCAGTTCTCATTTGGTTCGTCGTCTTATGATTCCCGTATATTGGCGACAACCCTACATCCTGAAACCACAATCCTGATTCAGCTTGCAGATTCGGGGAGCCAAGAGCCGCACCCATTATGAAGCCGTGAAGCCAGAGAGCGAGAGAGAGAGAGAGAGAGAGAGAGCCAGAAAGAGACACAGCCAGGGCCAAGGCCTGCCAGGGAACCTTTACCCAAAGGCTCCATGTACCCATATAGTAGGTACTTAGGCCTTGAAGTACCTATATAGGGACCCCTTTAAGGCCGAAATAATGTAACGGTCCGTTTAGGAATATGGGCTCCTTTAATGCGTCGGCTCGGGGGCTAATTCCGAATCTGACAAAAAAATTGGCTTGTTCTAATTAATGCGTTTTTTTTTGGCTGGGGTGATTTTTTGGTGGCGGGGCTGTGCTATTTGCTGATGGTCAATCTTAAGGCAGCCACGACCTAAACCCCCACCCAAACCCCCACCCAACCCTAAAACCCTGGCCCTGAAGCCCGAAAATCTCTTGCAGAATTGTTTCGCTTATTGGGGCGTCAGGAATGAAATCTGTACTACTACTGTACTACTACTGTACTACTACTGTACTACTATTCTACTATACCTTGATTATTGGGGGGGGCTGCTAGGGTGAACCGCCGAATCGGGGATTGGACCCTAGCTCAAAAGAGGCCTCTCCAGTACTAAAGTTTGTAAAAAATTAAGTTTTGGGTCGAATCTGGACCGACCCCCCTTTGGAAGGGTTTAGGGCTTAGGGTTTAGGGTTTGTTATAGGGTTTAGGAGTTTAGGATTCGTTAGGGTTTAGGGTTTGTTAAGGTTTAGGGTTCAGGGTTTAGGGTTTCAGGCGCTGGCTTTATGCTTTGCTTATTGGGGGAATGTACTCACTGGCTTTATGCTTTGCTTATTGGTACTATTTCTGTACTATTACTGTATTACTACTGTACTACTGTGGTACTACTACTGTACTACTAGTGTACTACTGTACTACTATTGTACTACTACTGTACGATTACTGTACTACTATTGTACTACTGTACTGTTATCGTACTACTACTGTACTACTATTGTACTACCACTGTACTACTGTTGTATTACTATTGTACTACTGCACTATTATTGTACTACTACTGTACTACTACTGTACTATTATTGTACTACGGTACTATAATCGTACTACTACTGTACTACTACTGTACTACTATTGTGCTACTATTGTACTACTGTACTATTATTGTACTACTACTGTACTACTATTGTACTACCACTGTACTACTGTTGTATTACTATTGTACTACTGCACTATTATTATACTACTACTGTACTACTACTGTACTACTATTCTACTATACCTTGATTATTGGGGGGGGCTGCTAGGGTGAACCGCCGAATCGGGGATTGGACCCTAGCTCAAAAGAGGCCTCTCCAGTACTAAAGTTTGTATAAAAAATTAAGTTTTGGGTCGAATCTGGACCGACCCCCCTTTGGAAGGGTTTAGGGCTTAGGGTTTAGGGTTTGTTATAGGGTCTAGGAGTTTAGGATTCGTTAGGGTTTAGGGTTCAGGGTTAGGGTTTCAGGCGCTGGCCCAGACCCCCCCGACCCCCGACCGCGCAGTCGCGCAGAACCGCAGACCCTGCACCCAAGCCAGCCCCCAAACCCCGGCACCTCCCAATTCCCTGCCACTCAGACCGACCCCTGACCCCTGTCCGGGGCTACCGGTTCCATATTAAATAGAATTTTTTTTTTTGGTCGGGGGGGGGGGGGTACCCCACTATTAAACGGGCCGTTACATTACCTACTATATGGGTACATGGAGTCTTAGGGTTAGTAGATCCCTTCAGAACCCTTACAGAACCCCCAGAGCAGCTCAGGAGCAGAACGCCCAGATGCAAAGCTTGCAGCTGCAAGCAACGCACACGAGTTAGCTTTGCTGCTAATGGCGTACCCAAAGGCCCCAAAGTAGTTCCTTTTTAGGATTACCCTATAGGATTCTATATACGAACCCCAAAAGGGAACTACTTTGGGGCCTTTGGGTAAAGAGTCGGCAAAAGTAGCCACGAAGCTGCTGCAGCTTTGAGGCTGCGATCTCGTTTAAGCCTTATCTGGTAACTTGCACGTGAGAGTAGTGGTTTTGTGAAGCAAAGTACCAACCGTCTGTGAATTTGAGAGCTTCCGATCAATCCCACGATGAGCCCTGCAGCATCGCGGATTATGTAGTAGTCCTGGTTCTCGCTTCAGAAACTTAACATCAAGATCTCCACATAGGAACGTCCTTTCAGTTTTTTTCAGTATCGCACCTTAGTGACACATACGCATGAACAAGCTCGGAGATCCATATGTTAACAGTCGGAATGCGACAGCATTATACTAGCCCAAGATTGCCGAAACTCTGCTAGCTGCACTGGGCGCTGCCTTAGAGACGTGCCCTCGCAGAATGCAGCAGCCATCAGGAGTTTCACATCGCAAGTGAGTTTTGTTACTCCAAGGATGTGCACCGGTGCTGTGACCAGGAGTGCCAGGCAATTCCGTCTTATCTTAAGTGCAAGAGCTTACACACTGCACCGGGCATGGCAGGCTGGCCGCCGAGGCTTGATGGAACCCCAGGGCCGCTAAAGCCCCATCCCTAAATGCTGAAGACCTCAAGCACTACGTTACTGCGCCCAAGCCCTCGACCCTGAACCGTAAAACCCCAAAGTCCATTGAAGAAAGCCTTATAAAGGAAGCATGCCACATGCAACATGCGGGATGGTCACGGCGCACCCGCCTAAACCCCAAATCCTAGAAAGTCGAAGTCCGAAGCTAGCGGACCAAAGCGGCCTCGGGCCGGAACTACGGACGCAGAGCTTGCAGAGCAACTTCCTGCGGCAGCTATGAGTACACAAAATGTAATTATGCATGTATGTGTGTACATATATATATATATATGTCGTACATATGCATAGATACAGACACACCTGCACACACATACACATCGTTGTCGGTGTAATCAGGTACGAAAATTAGATCTATACTTGAACCTCAACATATTTCAAGCAATTGCATGGGCATGAGTTTTATAGCAGTAGATAGGGTTGCAGGAGTCTTAAGAAGCTCTCCTGTTGGGCTTTTTCTGGTCATGAAAGGAGTGTTAATCGTAGTTTTCTGCGCATGTTCTATATGCTGTACAACGGCGCATGATAGCTCGCAATCTGGTTCGTGTTTGAGTGTTGGAATGTACGGTATAGAAGATGAACACAAAGCAAAGTATGTCAAGTTGTTCGCCCACAAGATGTCAGCTGTCTGGCAAAATGACGAAGCTGAGCAAGCTTTGCGTCCTTCCATGTCGATGTTACAGGTGCGCGAAGGCTGGCACTGAAAACAAACATCAGAGTTGTAAGTTGCATGATTAAGTATGAGTGTGCACTTCTTCTGCATGATGCAGGGTTTGGGGTTGAGCGATAAACGCCTTTCTCAGACAGCACGGGTCACGTGCAGCAAGTGGTGGAATCTGTCATTCAGACGCATGTATTGCACCCGATCCATGGAGCTTTCCGAGGTGGTTCAGTCCTCGGGTTGGTCAAAAGCAACCAACCTGAAGCTAAACCCCCCCCCATATAAAGGCCTTGAGTGGGGAAAAATCCCAGTCCCTCAGCCCCTATCCCGCGAAATCCCCTCACAGAACGGTTGACCGCGACACCCCAAAGTTACAGCTCTCGAGCCTTGGCTTTGGAGTACCATACTTTAATCCTTTTTTTGGAACCTGTTACGTAAAGGGAACCAGTTATGAAATAGAAGTTTATAACTAATCTTTTCCCCCTCTGGTTACTTCAAAGCTAAGAAGCCGGAAGCCAAAGTGTCGCTGTCAAACCCTCATCCCAACCTGGACCCTTAAGAACCTCCCTTTCTAGGCTTCCCTATTATGGCTTCCTGATATAAGTCCTCAAAAAGGTAGGTTCTTGGGGGTCTAGGTAAACCCTAAGCCCTAGCCTAGAACTCTGTCAAGACAGAATGTTTCCTTTTGCTCCCACGGCTCCAGCTCAGGGTTACGGGTTCAAGAGAGGGTCGTTAGAATTGGAACAGGGCGTTGAGATATGATATTGTATAATGTTACAATTATACACGGAGTCTGAGTATAAAACTATTGCAGCATGACCAACTATGTCGTGCCACCTCCGTATGTCATATGTGTTCAGGGATAGATGTGAACAAAAACAGTATAGGCATCGCTCGCTTTTGCTGCCCTCTCCACATGCAGCTTGTCTCCCGTACCTTACGGTGAATGCTAGACTCCGGAAAGACTCTAGATAGTCTTTGCATTGCACGATCATGTCAGCTGCTTAGCTGCTGAAGCGACGGCAACCAAGAGATAAGGCCCCTAAACCCTAAACCCTGGGGCCCAGGGCACAGCAATTGCCGCAGACTCTAAGCCGTCAAAATGCCGCCGAAGAGTCGCACTGCTTCTCCCGGGCCAGTTGCCCGAAAGGAGTCAGAAGACCCAGAGGCATTTAAATTAAGGGCTTCCTTTAAGGTTCCTTCAAAGGAGGAGGGGGTTTCGGGTTTTACTTTAGGGTCCCTTTAAAGGGTCTCTAAGGAGGGGGTTTCGGGTTTAGGTGTTTGTCAGGCTGTTGGGCCCGCGTTATGGTTTGCAGTGGGGGTTCGGCAAGACCCTAAAGGACCCTAAACTCTCAGATCCAGGCGAGGACAAGAGGATGAAGGATCCTGCACTTACGAACCCTGTAAAGTAAAAGCCAGAAAGTTGGAATATGATTATCCTAAACACTTTATGGGAAATTATAAGGTATCCTACCTGAAACCATATTCCAACTTTCTGGAGTTCCCTTTAAGGTACCCCTACAAGGCGGCCAACATGCAAGAACTTGAACTTTTGCAGCTCGGGGTTCGGTTTTCACCCTAAAGCCTATCTTAAAGCCATAGCCTTCAAAACTTACCAATACTATTTTGGGGTTTCATTATTATAACTAGAATGGGCCCCAAAACCCTATTCTAATTATTGAGGCCCCCACATTAAATCTCGACCCTCATCCAGCACCAGCTGTGCCGTTATTCGGGAGGCGTGGGACGTGTGGCATTTTCAGAATGGGAGCGACCCTTGAATAGTAGGATCCTTGCCATGGGCACCTGAATTCGCGACCCCTGATTTGGGCGATGAGCCGTGATCTTCATCAGAACTCTTCAAACCGAAACACCCAAGGAAAGTATAGTGTTTAGGGGTTTCGGGGGTGTAGGGTGTAGGGCGGCCATGGGACTGGTCGAGGCCGCACGGAGTCAAATTCACCTCAATGAAGAATTTTTCCTGAAAGGAAGAGATACTAGGTTCTCGTAAATCTTGACCAATACCCCTTAAAGCCTTAGGTAAGAAACATTCCTCAGGAGGTGCTCTAGGTTGTTGGCAACAGGTGATATCCGGCGAACAGTGAAGTGAGTCTAATATGGAAGCCTGAATCAATGCTAGCAGTATTCCTCAGGTTTCACGATACTCTCCTACACTATACTGTATACAAAACTATATCCTCAAACTCTACTGTAGTTCTTACACGGTTAGTATTACTAGTATTGCCACAAGACAGCCTGTCTGTTGTTGGCTAGCCGGCCAGCAGGTGCGACGACGCAATGCCGCCAACGCTGAAACCAAAGCAAAGGCAGCACCGGAGAAGAAGACGAAGGACAGCTTCTTTACTGTAGGGGCCGCAATAATTTGAACAGGGTATTGGGGCAGACATAGTCGGCATAATGCACAATATCTATACTGAGGACTCCAGGCGAATCTGTTTGAAATCCTTCCCGACCCCAAATTAGAGATGCTGATGCCGGCGCATGGTATTGGAAAAATGCAGGATGCGACGCCTGCCAAAGCAGAGCTTCTTGGCAGCACCATTGGCATTAGTATTATTAACGGTAATAGCATCATTCTTTGGTAATATCATCACTATTGGTACTATCAGTACTGTTCTTGTTTTGAGTAGACTGTGTCTCGGAGGTTTCCCAACAAGGGCGTCCGCCGGTCATTTGCATGAGGGTCACTTCCACACCGTTGGTCGTTTGCATTGCTACTGCCAACTTTCTGACTTCGCTCCAGGTAGTATCCTTATCCTCAGTTGTAGCATTTGCCCTGCAGTCGTGTTGTCCCTGGCCGTGGCAAGGATAGGTACTGCCCCCATACAGTAAGAGTCTATAATAGGGCTACTTTTAGGGTCCTAATATATCTATATTTTGAATATTATTCAACTATTACTGAGTGGGGGGCAGTATCCAAAAAATAGCACAACAGGTTGACCCCCTGCATTTTCAGCATCCCGGCACTGAAGGCGAAAGTTATGTTTCCATGCAGTGTTGAGGCTTCTTGTTGATTATTTCAGGGGCCCAAATAATTACCCATACTGTCTGGGGGGTTCCTTACTATCCGTATAGTATAATGGGCCCCCAAACCCTGTTCCAGTTATTCAGGCCCCTATATTATCAGATTCTACATGTGGCTGCAATTACTGCTGGCAAGTCTTATATTATGAACAGAAGCATCGTTTTCACACGGCCACAACCACCTATCAGTATCATTCACTACCACGGTCACTCTCACTAGTACTATCACCACGACGACTACTACCACTGCTGCTGCTTCTGCAGCTGCTACGAGTTCTGTTGTTCGCATTGTCATTCTGCTCATCCTTGTTGGAGTTGTTGCAGTCTATACGCCCTTAGTCCCTTTGTTTAGCGTTTAGGTTACTTTATAACCCGCTTTAAATTTAAGCCAAGAAAGACACACCTTGTATTCCTAGGTTACTCTTAGTTCTAGTTGTTGTATGTCGTGTTATGCTCAACTTTCTTCCTGCCTGCACTATCAGTGTGAGGCTGCCGTTAACCCATGTCATTCATGGTTTGAGCTGCAGCCGGCGCCTACATGTCACTTTGCCTCAGCAGCAGGAACATCTACATATGTATATATATATATACACACATGTATATACATATATATATATATATATATACATACATGTATATGTATATGTATATGTATGTGCACACGCAGGTATGTATGTATGTACGTATTTTTCATGTACATATACATTTATGTGTAAACGTGGGCATTGACTTATGTGCTTTTGTGTTTGTTGTTTTCGTTCACGTGTTCAGAGCATAGCTCACATTGTACGACAACGCACTTCAGTCGATAGATACCAGTCATCAACCTTCAGTACACAAATTATCATCATTGTCAAGGTACGCTAGTTTTTGCGACTGACAGGCAGGCCGAGCGGGCAGGAGGACGTCCGTTCTTTCGCGAGAAGTCAGCCCCTGCGAAGCACTAGAGTTGGATGGTGATGAATATGCGAGCATTTACTACGATTGCTATCGTATGACAGTCTTTTTAAGATCATGTTGATGTTGATAGTGCTGGAACTCATGTTCCTTTCACTGCACGTACACCCATTTCTGTTTGCTTGGCTTAGTATGTATCTCCACTACATCGTTACTGGTTAAACAGCAAGTGCAGGCACAGGCATTTTTGGGTGTTGTACGAGCCTGGCCCCCCAATCCTACTACCGTGAAGCCCCAAACCACCGTTACACATGATAACATGATCTTGAGTCGGAAACGACGCATCCTCAAGCCCCAATGCCACAATAAACCCTAAACCCCGAGCCCAAAACTACCAAGATCTACCAAGCCCGAAACCCAACAGCGCGAAGATCTACGCTTTGCAACCGGATGCCCGGTGGCTGCAGCCGAGCCTGGCTTTTCCGATCTATGCCAGCACGCTGCTGATTACCCTCGTCCCTGGGACCGGTCCTTGAGGGGTAATGTCATGGAGGTTAGGCTTTGTGAGTTCAGGACTTTACAACCTAGAATGTGTCGGCTTTGGATATAGGAGAATATAAGGATTTAGGTGGAGGGGTTTGGAGTTGTGGGGTTGAGGGTTGGGCCCTGCAACCTGAAGACCCTAAAAGCCCTAAGCTCACAAACGGTCACGACATGTTCGTTCAAACGGGTTTTGTGATTCTGACAGGCACCTAGTCGCTGTAGTGGGAGACTTGAGGTGGAGCTCTTTTGACAATTTGCAGGCACATTATGCCTGCTTTGGCTTCTGACACATGCAAACTCTAGAAGACAAAACGGGGCAATCTGCATGAGAAGCCACAGTCACCCGAAACCCAAGCCCCTCAACCCTAAACTTTATAACCCCTAAACCCTAAACCCAAACTCCCTGAACCCTAAACCCTAAACCGTTGAGAAATGTTTGCCCCTTCGAAGGGCCCCAGTCTAATCCTACGGGTCCATGTACTAATGTAGCATATTTATGGGCCTTAAAGTAATGCCCACGGTTGATGATACTAATTTTGCATTACCCATAATAAGGAATGTACCATGGTTGCCATAGTCTAGGGTCATGAATGTAATGCAGGATTTGTATCATCAGCCGTACATAGGTACTTTGGGCCCAAAGTACATACTATTCGGGTACATGGACCCTGTAGGGTAAGTGTAGCTTCCGGCTGATTCCTATATCGTTGCTACACTTGGGCTGTGTCAGTCTCGAAGTTAAGTGGATGTGACTATTGCTATCATCCTTCCCTAGGACTCCAGATACCCAAATAGCAAGTTACTGGGTATAAAATGTGTGGTTAGTAACCTACTATTTCGGCAACTGGAGCCCTAGGGATTGAGACCGAGCAGATACAGGCCACAATCATGATAAGGATTGTTGTGTAGCATTTACGAAGATGTTTTTGATGACGGTGGCTACGACCAGGACAAATTCAATGTGGATGATGGTTGTGATGATGATGATGGTGATGATGGTGATGATGATGGCGTTGGCGACCCTAAGGACAAACTGTTGTGGTGATGATCATGGTGATGGTGGGTTTGGTGGTGGTGATGAACATGATGGTTCTGACGATGAGCATGAGATCGTAGAGGAGCCAGGACAGGATGAATACTATCTAGGGCGAACAAGATATAGGTTGGAGGAGGAGGAGGTGTTGCAGCAGCTGAGTACCCTACAGCTTCACCCTCCTTTCAGCGTGAACAGAGACCCCTTTGAAAGCCTCAAAGCCGCCAGCTTCAAAGCCAGGCTTGCTGCTTGTTTTTGGAGCCATCTTTCAAAGCTCTACGCTTGCAGTACACGGTTGTTGCTTCGGGCTTGCTCCTCTACCGCATGTGCCTTGGCACCGGCATTTGGAGTTCAGTTCATACAGACTTATCCCCGGTGAATAACCACCCGTCCTTCAGGACGATGTCAGTAGCAAACTGGGATTCGCTTTGAAGCCTTCTCGGAGGAGCAGGTTTGCTGAGTAGGTGACTACATTGTTGTTCTTGAGCTCCTAGTCTCAGAAAGTGTTTGACGGTTTCTGTTTCTCATCTCGATAGTGGTAAGGAGAACACCATTATAAGTTTCAGACCCAAGACTATACATCAAACTGTGGCGCTTTACCCTTTATCCTACACGCCGTTTGTTTCATTCATGTTTGGGGTGTGTTATTTTTCGTCATATCAGGGTCTTACATCTGCCCAAACTCGCGTCCGAGGGTGAAACTATTGCTGCAGTTTGCTGCTGAGTTTGGGAATGGAAGACAGGTGGTCCAATGTTTCGCTGAAGGTTTGGTGCGCAGCAGTCGGTCTCAACATCGCGAGACTCTTCGAGCTTTTGCTCCTGAAAGTTTCATCCCACTACTAAATGGGCCTCAATAATTACCCGTTACCAACACTAATTAGTTTGGAGGCTCCTTGCCATAGTTATAGTATATTTGGCGCCGAAACCCTATTCTAAATATTCAGACCCCTATACTAGGCCAAACCGCCGGGCTTTGTCGTGCATGCTTGAGGTATTACTATGCGCGCAAAGAGTGGATGCTCTTCTTTATCGACCTGTGCTTCGTCAACAGCAGCCCAGCTTCACATCCTACAATGGCTTTGTTCGTGCATCTGGGGGTTGACTAGGATGCCCTAAACCCCTAACCCTAACCCTAGACTCTAAACCTAAACTCTAAACCCTCAACCTAAGATGGACGTGAGCTTGAGTCGATCTCATTCTGCAAATGTCGGATCTTCCGACCGACCCTAAACTCCTGGACCCTTACATAAAAGTTTAGGGTGTAGGGTTTTAGGGTTTTGGGGTTTAGGGTTTTAGGGTTTAGGGTTCGGGAGTTTAGGGTTTAGGGCCAAAGCCACTGAACCTCAGGCATCTTGCTTTTATACAGCCTCTGGTCTTGCGAATCTGGCTGTTCTCGCGAGTCTCGGGCAGCACCAAGCACCCAGAGACTCCAATATCCCTTGTTTAAGGAATGTACATCAAATCATATTCGGGATCCTACTATAGTTTAAGGGATATTCCGTCATTCAGGGATCTTCCCCTAAACCCTAAACCCTAAACCCTAAACTCTAAACCGTAAGGGATATTCCGTCATTCGGGGATCTTGGAGTCTCTGGGCATCAGGGTTGCAGGCTGTAGGGTTTAGGGTTTCGGGCGGAGATCGGATGGCCGATTCGGGGTTTGAGCGTATAATACCGGGGTCATCACCGTTAACATATGGGCTTGAAAAATTAGAATGGGGTGCTGGGGCCCATTATGCTATAGTTCTAAGAAGGAGCCCCCAAAGTAGTATAGGTAATTATTTGAGGCCCCTATGTTATGTAACCTACCTCATTTGCGGTTTGGGGTTGCAGGTAGGTATCGTGGCAGTAGGGTTTGCTTTGCCCCGAAAGCAGACAGCACCGCTGTGCGGCTCCGGTGTTTCCATGCAGAAGGCTTTGTGATGTTTTCTGTGGATTGTCACTTAAAGTTTCCGTTTTGGAATTTCGAAGCAAGACTGCGATGGCTTTTCCGCCACATGCCGTTTGGCACAGGCAGACCTGCGATTAAGAGTTTACGCACATGACCCGGTACCGACCTACCCAACAAGTACCGCAGAGTGCAGTTGCAGCCGCAGGTGACAAAGTGGCTTAAAAGGGCTCTTCTAAACTTTTTGCCTGATTTACCCACACTCACAAAAACCTGATCAGCCTGCACCCTAAGGAATGGTTGTTGGCGACGTACATCGTCGCCCAAGGACCTGTGGCAGGTGCGACATTCCCATTGCAGACGCCGCTGACGCTCCACCACCCGGAGGCGGACAAGAATCATAGCCCGTTTCACGCTGTTCGTAGTTGTGAAGCAGATGAGATTATTCAGGACCGCCAGAGCCATAGTTCAACTTAAAGAACGAAGCTCATTCTCATAGAAACGTTCATGGTGTCCATTGCAGCAGCAACCATAGTTACACACATACTACTCATGTTGCTGGCTGGCCGGTGCCAGCCAATATTTTCACAGTGCAAAATCGAAAATCAGCAGAAGCAGCGACAGCCAGGATAGTTGGCATCACATCCGAAGTGTAACAACATTAGGGTGCAAATTGCTGTTTAAAAGCAATGCTGCTAGAACCAATTGCGCAAATTAGGCGAACTTGGGCTTGAAGAATGTCCTTCATACAATAAGTCTGATCAAGGAAATACTACAACAGGTATGAGCATTGCCACGGCCATGGCAGAATAGCGGTGAGAATGTGTTGGCAAGCAGTTCAGCAACTAACCGGTAGTAGTGCAACGAGTGATGTGATTTGCATCCATAACAGTAGTGGTACAATGGAGGCATTGACTACATCAATTCGGTTGTTCATCGAATTATCAGACATTGCGAGTTTCTCGTGCGGACAATGTGTTGCCTTCTCCTGCAGACTGCCCCCTTTTTAAGATATATTGCGGCATCCCGAATCCAACGTGTTTTTGTGTACAGAAAAAAAGTTTGTCTTCTCATAATTATAAGCTGTGTGCAGGCCTTTGTTCAAATACCGTTGCATTAGCAGGCCTGCAACGGTATCTCCCATTTTGTTTCAGAAAGCATGTAGTAGCACAGCCGCAGAGTCAGTTGAGCGAAGCCCTTGAGCTGCTTGGTATGCTGCGGCATATGGTTTTTGAGTCATGCCAGATTTCCACCAGGTTCTTCTGCAATTCCCGCAAAAAAAAAAGGCCCGACAAATCGTCCGCAGAGACTGGCGGATTCGAGTCCATGGTTCGTCCGGTGTTTTGCAATTCTTGCAGCTTAATCGGCTCAATTTCGTCATGGCAGGTATCCACCATGCGCGGTGGTGGACGCGGCGGAGTTTTGTGTTGTTCGCAATGCGGGAAATGCATATACAAAACATGGCAACACCGAGTTCGAGGGCTTCCAAGATAATGTCTTTCGAGTGATAGTAGCAGCAACTTGGCCGTCGAAGGCCATGCTAATAATCCGAACGGCAGTCCCCATGTCAATGAGGGGCGATGGTGGCAGCAGCAACGATAAACGGCAAAAGTGCCGTGATTACAGTAAAATTTCGCCAGTTTGCCTTAGTAATTAGTGCTATCTATCAATACCAGGAACACGGAAAGGTACAGGCTAAGAACACGAGCAAAGCATCGATCTTCACGAGTGGACGACAACAGCAGCAAAACTGATGTCGTCAAGATGGCTCTGCACGGCCACTGCCACCATCTCCGCCACTGCTACCAGCCCCCACTACTACCACCACCGCCAACACCAACACCGACACCAGCATCGATAACATCTATAACCACTACAACTACAACTGCAACTGCAACACCGACACCAGCATCGATAACATCTATAATAATTACTGCAACTACACCTGCAACTGCAGTTGGAATTACAAGCACAAGTACAAGTACCATCGCAACTACAGGTGCATTTAGCAGCAACAGCACCAACACCAATACCAACACCAGCAGCAGTAGCAGCACTAGCAGCAGCAACAGTACCGTCAACGGCAGAATCAGCAGCAGCAGCAACAGCAACAACAGTAGTAGTGGCAACAGCAGCAGCAGCAGCAGCAATAGTTGTTGTCTTACATCGCGGTTGGTAATGTGAGTATCATGGTCTCCCCTCGTTACTCGTACCGAAGCGCAAATTCCTAACCTTGCGCTGCACGAAGGCTTTCGAGAGCTTCTTCCTCCATGCGTCGCCGACGCTGTGATGAGGGTTTAGGCTTTAGGGGTTAAGGGTTTAAGGGTTTAAGGGTTTAGGGTTTAGGGATTTAGGGGTTTAGGGTTTAGGGGTTTAGGGTTTAGGGGTTTAGGGTTTAGGGGTTTAGGGTTTAGGGGTTTAGGGTTTAGGGGTTTAGGGTTTAGGGTTGAGGGTTCTACACGCAAGGAAAAGTTTCCCTGAAATCTTAGTCGGGCCTGGTGTTCAGGGCGTCATGAGCCGCGATTGAAACTTCTGTACATACGGGTGGTTGTCAAAATTATGGTCCCTTTTTGGGCACCCTAAAAATTAGGTGCCGTATTATAATAAGGGTCCGAAAAGGGACCCTAATATTGACAACCACCCAATACGTGAAGCCTTCAACTAGATTCTGCTCCTCACGACGCGACTTGATGCCTTTCATGACGGTCCATGACATCGAGTCAGGCTTACCGCCAGAGCGTTTGTAGCGAAAGCAGCACGGCAAATGTTCCTAGAGTTTATTTGCACATATGCCACGATTGAGGCTACATATGCTACATGTTGTTGTGATGCTGTCAAAACCGTCATCACGTTGTTGCGTAGCTTCCTGGTTGGTAGCGAATGTTTCGCCTTGTCTGTAAGATCTTGATCTTGTCACTTCATGTACTAATGTCGTCCTCAAGTCCCGGTTGAACGGTTGTGACCAGCAAGCGGAACACTCCTTGCCTAAATGCTAAAGTATTACAGTCGAAGGCTTGTTGCTTACCATGCACAGAATCGGACACAAACTCAAACCCTGCCTAAACCGCCCAAAAGTAGGTAAAACAATTGCCCAATACCTATAAAAGGCCATTATCCTACATACTTTTGGTGTCAGGACCCCTACTTAGACAGTGAACAGGTGAACTTTAAACTTTTTGGCCTTATATATTAGCCCTGTCTTAGAAAGTTTGAACTTTTTGGGGCCCGGTTGTTGAAGAAGAGAGCCTAAGAGGTCCGAACTGTGGGAACTGAGGATGTGGATGGCTTACGCTGTGCGCTGGCGCTGGCCGAATCTTCTGGGCCCCATCCCACCAGCCACTCCATCACTTAGGGTGTAGTGTACCCATAAGGCCCATAGTAGTTCTTTTTAGTTCTTTTTGGGGCTCATATTTAAAATCCTATAAGGTAATCCCAAAAAGGATCTACTATGGGGCCTATGGGTAGAGTGCAGGTTTCAGGGTGTATGGTGTAGGATGTAGGGTTTAGAGTGTAGGATTCAGGGTGCAGGGTGTAGGATTTACGGTGTAGGGTGTAGGATCTAGGGTGTACGGCGCGCATTTAGGTTTCAGAGTGTAGGGTCCAGACCCCGCATTCAGACTCTCGACCTTGTACTCCACGAAAGCACCCAGAGGACCCATAGTAGTTCCTTTTTGTGGATTCATACCTAGATTTTTTATAAGGTAATCCCCAAAAGGAACTACTATGGGAATAAAGCTATACACCCGAGAGCCTGCAATCAGACTCTCGACCTTGTCCACCACGAGAAGCAGAACATAAACTATACAACCCACAACACCTCGTCAGACACCTAGGTCACCTAGAGCCTTCTTAATGACCCCCATTTCGGAGTTTCCGCAAATTAGGGGTACCATAAATTTTTGGAGTCCTTATAGTAAGGATCCTACTATTTAGGGTTTTTTGGGGGGGTCCCCTATTTTCGGAAAGTTCAATTTAGGGCGGGGGGGAATCAACCCTCCGCCCTAATCCCAGACCTTGGTCCTAGGCCCGCTGGTTGACTTGGCAGGGCTCCGAGAGCCTCCAAAGCCCCTTAATTAAGGAATACACCTTAAATCATAATAGGATCCCTTAGTTAAGGAATACACCTTAAATCAGAATAGGATCCCTAATATAGTTTAAGGTATATTCCTTAATTAAGGGGTTTTGGAGGCTCTGGGCTTTGCTTGAGAGTATGCAGCTCGTTTAGCTGTCGTTGTCGATGTTAGAGACTGGAGCTTCAGAAAACTAGAGGACCCTTAACTTCACAGATTTGGTTGCAGGGTCATCATGCCGTTTTGGCCGCAAGCTGCCGTAGCTTTCCATTCCTAGGTTTAGGGTTTAGGGTCAGTCTTCTAGGCGCCTGTGACATAGCCCATGGAACTTGGATCTCGACACTTTCCGAAAACGATCGAGATGAGGAAGGAACACTTAAATTGTCAAAGACCTACTTTCAGCATTCTCTGTGCTCAGTCTTGGCGTCCATCAACCACACCTGCAAGCAGTCCTTGCATCTTAAAGCTTCTAAGATAAGCCCATGTAGAGCATTTTATAAGGCCCGATAATACAGCCCATAGCCACCCACACACCCTAAACTGCAAACCCCTTAACCCTAAACCGCCTTCAGACAAGGTCTCTGAGTTGCTGTCCGTTGGCTTCTGGCGTCTCTACTTCCCCTGGAGTGCTTGCTACCTAGTCACTTGCTCTACTTGGTTGCTTCTTTGTCCTTTTTGCAGGGGTTCTGAGGGTTTAGGCTGCAGGGCCGTTACAATCAGGATCGTACAAGTTCGAGCTCTACTGTACGTATGTCCCCTGATAACTTGAAACCCCTAAATAAACCCAAAGCCCTAAATCCTAACCTACTATTTGCTTAAGAATCCCGAAAAAATGGAAAATAATAACCCCTATATTACCCCTATAAGGAATACATTTTTTTATTTTTTGGGGGGTTCTTAAGCAAATAGTAGTAACAGGTGCGTCGCCAAGCATCGCTGAGGCACATCGCAGCCCGGACATCCCACTCCTCGGAATTCGGAACTCCATGGAAAGAGATCTGACTTGTGGTACCCTTAGAGGCCTTAGAGTACCCAGATGTAATACAGCGTTTTGTAGCAGATTTTACAGTGGCTCTTCTGGTATAGTAGAGAGACATAGAGACAGAGAGACAGAGCGACAGAGGGACAGAGAGACAGAGCGAGGCAGTGAAGGGAGAGAGAGACAGACAGACAGCGAGAGTATGAGAGAGTCAGAGAGAAAGGGAGAGAGCCAGAGACAGAGCGAGAGAGACAGAGAGGGGGAGACAGAGGGAAGGAGTGAGAGAGTGAGACAGAGTGACGGCGAGATTGAGAGAGAGAGAGAGAGAGAGAGAACAAATTTCCGTAGATTCCGCAGATTGCAATCGAAGCTGAGGTCTTCCTGCTGCTGCAGCCGCCGCCCGACTGTTTGAAGAGGGGTTCGAAGCTATGACTGCTGCGTCCAGTTTTCGAAGTGAACCGTTTAGGGTTTAGGGCGGTGTTTCAGTTCTTTCATGCCATCCATGATAGAATCGATCCGGTAGAAGTGACACAGACCGTTCAACTTGATTCTACACTGCCACCGCCACCCACTTCCCACCTCACACCTCTCACTTCCAGCCCGCTTCCTCTCCCGCCACTTCCCACCACAGGCATCTAGAGTGCTAGTTTGTTGGCTGTCGTTTGCAAGCGGCAGCTCCGGAAACATGCCACTGATTCGCATTGACCGCTCAGGGCGGCTAGTGTATTGAACGTAGGGATGCAGCGGTCCTTGAGATGGAGTGTTTCGTGAGGTTCCTCCCGGACAGGATAGCTGGATTGGAGCACCTCAGAAGCAAATCGTCAAGATCTGATGTCACACTGCTGCTTTCGTGACGGAAGTGTCGTCCATAAGTCTCATGTCGCTTGCCTGCTAGCAGAAGCTTATGATGCTTTCTTGCCAGTAGTGCTTTAAGACCAGCAGGTTGGTGATTCCAGCAGGATGCTACATGCACTGAGACTCTCCCACAGCTGACAGCTACTGTCTTCGGTTTTCAGAGGGCCCTGATATACGACAGTGCAACATGGGATGCCCACCCTCCAGAAGGCGGTGCTCAATCCCCAAATTGCGTCTGTTTTCAGGACCCTTATGGATGGCTTCATCCTGCCCGCATCCACCGCGCAGTCTCGCCTCACCGCCAAGAGACAGGCCTCGCCAGATGGCAGGGAAATTTTGTATGCATAAGTACAGCTCGTTGTGGTTATGTCCGGGTAGAAAGCAATGCCTCACACTTGTATTGCTCTGCCAGCTGCCATTGAACAGTGCATGTGCACATGGGCGTTCTGTAAGTGTATGCGTATGTATACATATGGAACGTCATAGAAAGTCAGAGAGACAGAGACAAATGTGTATATATATATATATATATTTCTGTATATTAGGTGAAAAAAACATATCATATTTTACTATACTGTATATATACATATGCACATGACAGGTATTAACATACCCATAGGCCCCATAGTAGTTCCTTTGTTGGGGTTCATGTAGAATGTTGGTGGCCGCGCTCATTACCATACCTCAATACCTGAGGGGGCTCCTTACGATAATCCTACTGAAACATACCGCCAAGCCGTGTTATAGTACTTATGAAATATGAAAGAGCCATGTTACGAAAAGACGTCTTTGGAGCTCATCATAAATGTATCCTGGAACATACCCGCCCCCCCCCCCCCAAAAAAAAAAAAAAAAAAAAATGAACCTATTCTGATTGAGATCAAGGCCCGTGTGTTATGACCAGATGTAGGTTGAGCCAAAGGGAACCCGTTTAAAGAATCGTAGAGTACCCCTTGAGGGCACCCTACCTAAACCCCCCAAAGTGGGTAAAATAATGGCCCAATACCTATAAAAGGCCATTGTTCTACATACTTTGAGGGTTCAGGTAGGATCAGCCTGTAGGTCTAGGCCTTTGCAAGGAGTCGACAGCCCGACTTTCACTATCTCACGCTGCACCAGATGGGTTTGTGAGGCTTAGGGGTTCTTGTTTTTGCCCGAGCCTTTGCCTGCCTTGGAAGGGGTTGCGGCTTTGCAGGGGTTGGGCGAGTTTTTGGCACTTTCTGGGCCATGGTTTCGGAATCTGTGGCATCTACATTCTGCTAGTATAGATGGTTCGAAGCAGGTCGAAGTAATTTGTTTACATCGCGACTGCGGCATGTCCACGTACGCAAAGCCCGGAATCGAGCCACTTGCAGGAATACTCGAAATATGCCTTCAATGTGATGAAAGCCACGTCACTCGCAATGCACGAAGTACTCAGTTTCTTTTTGTGAGTTCAGCTGCATCTTTGCTGCACCAAGACTTTACAAGCTCTGTTCGGTTGCCTGTACTTGACATCGTTGCTGACTTCCCGGTGCATGACAATATAGGGGCCTAAATAATTACCAATACTTTTTTGAGGGTCCTTATCATATTTATAACATAATGTACACCAAAAACCCTTTTCTTGTCATTATAATTAAGGCCCCTATAGTACAGGAACGCCATGAAACCCTTCCTGCCGGCTCTGGCTTCGTCTGCTAAGCCTAGCTCAGGGTCCACGTACCGAAAAAATACCAAAGTACCTATATGGGAGGACCCGAAAATTAGGGGTACCTCATTTTCGGGCCTTAGAAGACGGATCCTACTATTGAGGGTCCTATATTAGGGTGCCCATTTTCGGAAACTCCCATAAGGGAGTCCTTTAAGGCCAGTGTATAACCCTGTATGGGTACATGGACCCTGAGAGTAAGAAGTCTGCCGAGTAAATTCTTAGCTGTGCTGGAAAAGGAAAATGGACGCGGCGGTTTCAGCCTCGGGTTGCGAACGCTAGACCCGAAACCCCGCACCCTACAGATCCCCAGAGCCTCCAAAACCCCTTAATTAAGGAATATACAATAAACTATGTTAGGGATCGATTTAAGGTGTATTCCTTAATTAAGGGGTTTTGGAGGCTCTGGGTCCCCAAAGGATGTTGGAGGCTGTTGGGTTTTGATCTTCGGCTGCAGGGGCAGCAACCTCGAGCCCTAAATCCTAGAAGCAGTGTAATTATATAACCTGAACCCTGAACCGACCGGCATTTGCCGCAGTATTGGATTTTAGTCTTTTTTGGAGGAATATGGGCAGAAGCGTATCTGCTAGAATGTGCAGATGAAAACGCAATGTTTGTGACCGGAAATAGCAAGCAAGCTTATATGTCGTGGTTCACTGTAGGGGTCTAAGGTTTACGGTTACTTACAGCCCCACCCTAGGGCTCCAGTTACCCAAATAGTATAAGTTACTGGGGTATATGGTATATGGTTAGTAACCCATAGTTAACTGGAGCCCTAGGGCCAGTCAAGGTATTGAGAACCCTACTTACCAAGACCCGAGGATTCTGCATGCAGTGCTTTCTGGATCGGGCTTCCTGGCGGCGGCCATGGCTTACCAGTACCATGATGCTCGTCCCGAAACCGAAAAAGGGGGCTTCTTTCGCAGCTGCAGGGTTTAGAGTTCGTGCAGTGGATGCCTTAAGGGATCTTTCGAGGGATTCTTTAACGGTACCGCACAAGTTTAAGTGCATCTTTCGCAGCTTGGGAAAGCCTGGGTCTCCCATGTTTATCAGCCCTTACCTTGCTGCTATGCTCCTGCTTGCCGCAACAGGGGTTTAGGGTTCAGGGTTCCAGTAAATCGGAAGCCTGAACCCGCAACACATGTGAAGTACCCTTTACAAGAACCATGCGGCCTTGAACTCCTAAATCCCAAACTCTCGGGAGCCCTTGTATAGTACCCTGATAGAATCCTAGTCCACAAAAAGCAGCCCTGAAGCGAACAGCCTTGAAGGCTCTGAAAATCAAGCCCTCGAGCCTCAGGAGGCGACGCCTGAAAGGAACCGCGACTCGGAATCCTAAAACCCGAAAGCCCACACGCCAAGGTCCCTCACCTAAAACCCGAAGCGCTTACCGGGTTTAGAGTTTGGAGCTCAGGAAAGAAGCCCTGTCAAGGAGCATCCTCCTCCTCCTCCTCCTCCTCTAGAGCCCTATCTAGGTGGCTGGTGAACTCTTTATGCTTCCCGTCATGGTTCCGCTTCCCATGCATAAGCATATTTTGACAAAAGCCGGAAAGCCACCACCCTACACGCTGAACCCCAAACCTTCGAAGCCTTTCCACCTAAATCCAAACCCCCTCCAAGACCCGAAACCCTCAACCCTTAAACCCTAAATTCTAAACTCCAAATCCCTAAACCCTAAACCCTAGGAAAAAAGGAATCCAAAAAAAACAAACTCCAAATCCTTAAGCCGCCTTAAACCGCCTTAAGCCCTTAGACCCTGAAACCATAGCACAGGAGGTTCAGGTCGTCTGGATCTTCTGCGTGCTGCTCGGCTGCTTGGCCTCAGGAGCTCGGCTCCTCGGAAGCAGTCGGTCGAAGGGTGGATGATATAAATAGGGTTTAGGGTTTAGGGTTCAGGGTTTAGGGTTTAGGGTTTATGGTTTAGGGTTTAGGGTTGTGGATGATATAAATCCTGCATTACCCATAATAAGGAATATACCATAGTTCCCATAGTTTAGGGTCCTTAAGGTATTGCAGGATTTATATCATCCACCGAAGCACCCGAAAGAGAAGAAGAGACGTTTGCACAGTTAGGGTTTCCTTTAAGGGATCCTTCAAGATGAAAGGGATCTAGAAGGTTTTAGGATATGGGGATCCCTTTAAGGGTTCCAAGAAGGTCCAATAGTTGCTAAAACAACACGAGCCCTGTTCAATTGTTATGAGGGCGTTCAGACGGAGTTTCACACGTTTCTGATCAGGGTTGTAAGAGGGTTGTAAGTTGATACGGTCCCTGCTGCGGCTCCTGGTGAGTTTAGCCTTCACACAACCCTAAATCTCAAGCTCCGAATACTTGGGGCTCAGAGTTAGTGTGGTCGCATTGTGAGCCACGGTCATGTTCACGATGCCTGGCATTGCTGTTACTTGGAGGTTCATGGATAGTTACAGAAGGGGTTATAAGTCCCCTAAGATAGGTCATAACTATAGTCGTCCTACAAATAACCCTACTTGACTAAGCATGAACCTCCAAGTAGTTTCATGGTCAGTACTTTCGAAGACCGTGACTGTTGTCTAACCGCTCCTGCGGGTTATTTCCATCTTCTGAGACTTCGCGTTGTCTCGGATACCCAAAGCTGTGAAAAAGTATTTCAAGGACTCTTGGAGTCAGGTATCGGGTAGTATCGGGATTTAACGGCTCGTTGTTGAGGCTGTAAGCTTCATCTGCTGTCTCTGTCAGGATGCACATAACCCCGCACAAGCTATGCAAGGTAGCATTCATAAAAAGCAGTATTCGGGGGTGAAGCTGTATACTCTAATAAAGTAAGCGCATTGGCACCCATTTGCTGGCAAACCCTCCCTAGGGCTCCAGTTACCTAAATAGTAGGTTACCAACCATGTATTATATACCCCAGTAACCTACTATTTATGTAACTGGACCCTAAAGCCTAAACCCTAAACTCAACCCTAAACTCCAAACCCTAAATCCTAAACTCTAAACCCTAAACCCAAAACTCACTATTTACGTAACTGGAGCTCTATAGTAGAAGACAGAAAGTTGGAACATCATTATCCTCATGCCGTTAAGGTAAAGTATAAGGGATCCTAGCACCAATCCTCCTAAAGCCATGTTCCAACTTTCTGGCTTCTACTATAGGGCCTGAGAGCAGCCCAGGTTCTACTACCAGAGTGCGACGCCGGACCGGGCTCGTTTCAGCTTCCCCAAAGGCTCCATGTACCCATATGGGTGGTTGTCAAAATTAGGGTCTCTTTTTGGGGTCCTTAACAACTACTCAAAGTAGCCATATAGGGACCCCTTTTAGGCCTAAGTACCTACTATATGGGTACGTGGAGCCTTAGGGTTCGGGTTCTCTTGGCTTTTTGCTTTTCGGAAGGTTGTGGACAATGGAGGCCCGTAAAAAAAGACGGCCTTAACAATTACCGACATTATTTTTTGGTGGGTTTCTTGTCAAGGCCACTACATTACCCCAGATACCCGGAACCTCAGTGCGCCCAAAGAGTCCAACATCCCTTGATTTAGGAATATTCCTGAAATACTATTAGGGATCCTACTATATTTTACGGAATATTCCTTAGATCGGGGATATTGGAGTCTTTGGGTGGCCTGGGGGCAGCCCTGTAGGACTACGTACCGCCGGGAGTTTACCGTGGCTTTCGCAATATGGGCTTGGCCTGGGCCATGGTCTTACCGACATATCTTCACTGCGCCGGATATGTGCCTTGGCTTTAGGGTTTAGGGTCATACCGACATATCTCACTGTGCCGAAGCGGTTTGCACTGCTTTGCTTCTAGCTCGGCTCATGGGAACGCCCGACTGCCTTCATGGATTTCTTGATTCGCTGAGGTGTAGCTGTAGCTGCCTATCTGGTGTGCAGCGCAGATGCCCGTGGCCACGTACGATAAAGCTGCCTTCCAGTGTTCCCAGCAGATCCCGCCCGGTACCTGAGCCGGATGTACCTTTGAACCTCTGCTGTTGAAGCTGGAGGGGTTCCGAAGGCGCGATTCCCTTTGTGGTGGTATTCCCAGACATGGCATGATACGGGACAGCAAGGTTGCTCAATATTCGGAGACGAGGGCTGTAACCGATGTAGAGCCTTTGTTACGAAAGCCCTGCACCCCGTAACGTGTCAGCCGGGGTCGTTTCTGGCATCCTGCTCAGGGTGACCAGGGCTCTGCAAGAGTCTTGGTTCAATGACAATGACAGCCGCACGAAAAAGGCGAGCTCAAATTTTAGGGTTTAGGGGTTTAAGGGTTTAGGATTTAGGGTTTAGGGTTTATGCTGACGTATTTAGGATTTAGGGTTTATGCTGACAAAGCTCTCGTTTCGATTCCTCCTGGGGCTCTGGCGCAGCATTCGACCGAAATGCAGTGACAAACCTAGGTGGGCCGTAAATGCTCACAGGTCCGCCCGAAACCTAGCGTCCTCGAGTTTCATGGAGTTTCATGACAGAGCTTTATACCATTCTAGACAACCTGCTGCCAGATCGTTGGAGTACTTCGGTTGATGATATAAATCCTGCATTACCCATGATGAGGAATATATCATAATTCCCATAGTTTAGGGTCCTTAAGGTAATGCAGGATTCATATCATCCACCGTTGGTTCATTGGTACAGCCACCGCATCGTTCAATTGTCTGTTCAGATTATTTGCTTTGCTCGCACCAGCTTGAGCGGTTGAGGCTGGGAGACCCGCTCGACACGAGAATCTTACAGAACATGAGAAGGTCTACTATATAGGGGCCTAAGTAAATTACCAAGACCAGTTTGGGGGTTCCTTGTCTTATTATATTTACAGTATTATGGACCCCAAAACCCTATTCTACTTGTTAAAGCTCTTATAGTACTGGTCATATCTGAACGAGGGAGGGACAGCCGTCTCAGGCTCAAGCCTCACAACACACACATCTTGATTTGGACTGCAGGGAGGACACAAGCAAAGAAACTAAGCCCTGAAGCCAACACCGCAGCAAGCTTGAGGAGCTAATTCTAATGTCTTGGCTTAACCCCAAAGGCCTACATGCATGCTAATAACCGTAATTTTAATACTCAATACTGAAGCTCGTGCCCAAGCTCAACCGTAAGAACAAGCTTTCTTCTAGCCCAAGTGCTACCTAAAGCCCCAAACCCCTGAACCCTTGAACCCCCAAACCCGAAACCCCAAAACCATAAGCCCCTGAACCCCTAAACACTAAACCCCTGAAGCCCTAAACCCTAAAACCCTAAACCCTAAAGCCCTAAAACCCCTGAACCCCTAAACCCTGAGCCCGACAGCCCTTCGCCACTGCACCGTGGATGGCGGCCCATGTAATATGGAAGCTCTACGTCGCCTGCCTGGCTGCCTGCAGGTGCCAAGCCGCTTTCTACAGGGTTTAGGATTGACTGCAGGATTTGAGGTTTAGGGTTTAGGGTTTCACGTATGATTTGGGGCTTAGGGTGTGGTTTAAATCAGGTGTTTAGGATTTACTGTAGGATTTGGGGTTTAGGGTTTAGAGTTTCACGTATGATTTGGGGCTTAGGGTGTATGGTTGAAATCAGGTGTTTAGGATTTACTGTAGGATTTGGGGTTAAGGGTTTAGGGTTTCACGTATGATTTGGGGTTTAGGGTGTATGGTTTAAATCAGCCGTTTTTACCGTAGGCTTTAGTTTTTGTTTTTAGGGCTCAGGTTTAGGGCCTGGGCTCTGGTAGTTATATGTGGAACGGAAAATTAACAGGGAGGTTGATGAAAGGCTCTACGTCCGGCCAGCCCGACAATTTCAGATTTCACGGCGGTCAACCCCCAAATGGTTGATGCAGGGGAACTTGTTGTCGCGTGCATGTTTGCAGAAAGTCTTTTACTTTTCCTTCTCACGCGTCTTACAGGAAACGCTGCCTTAGTCTCCATTGTTGATCCTGTTTTGGTTTAGCCAGTTTGGTATTCGGGATCCAAGAGCTAATACAAGCAAGAAGCTACAATGGAGACTATAAGTGGCTCAGGGCTTTTTCTCTGGCCTCAGATCTGTGGCAGTACAGGGCTGAGACCCTCGGGATGGTTTCGGGCTGGCTTTGAGGCGTGAGGGCTCCGCCCTGTCTCCGAAATGGTCACCCCGAACCCTAAACACTGAACCTTAACAAACGCTTCCGAAACCCTCAACTAAACCCTAAACCTTAACCCTACAAGGATGTCTTTCTTGTGGCTGAGGGCTCTTACACCCTAAACACCAAAGCTAAACAACAAACCCTAAATCGTTTCCCAAAGGCCAAATAGATGTATAGGGCATTGGAGGGGAGGGTTCTACAATTGATGTGTTTTTTGTGGGTTCTATCAAGGTTTAAGAGAGGGTTCCAAAATCATAAGTTGGGATTTTCCGATAATAGGGGACCTTAATCTAATACCCTAAATAGTAGGATCATTATTCTGAGGACACCAAAAAGAAGGTACCCCCTCATTTTCGGAAATTCCCAAACCCTAAACCCTAAACCCTTTATAGAACCCCCGTTATAGATCCCTTTAAGGAACCCTTCGAGGATCCCTTTAAAGGAGCTCCTAATCTTCGGAAGCTCCCAGTCTGAGCCTGCAGCTTCCCAGGGGCTTGGGATCTTTTGGGCGGCTTCGGGTTTCTGCGTGTTGCTGGGTTTAGGGTTTTAAGGTTTCAGGGTTTAGGGTTTGGGGGTTCAGGGTTTAGGGGTTTTGGGGTTTATAGTAGAAGCCAGAAAGTTGGAACATGGCTTTAGGAGGATTAGTGCTAGAATCCCCCTATACTGTACCTTGAGGGCATGAGGATACTGATGTTCCAACTTTCTGGCTTCTACTGTAGGGTTTTAAGGTTTCAGGGTTTAGGGTTTGGGGGTTCAGGGTTTAGGGTTTGGGGGTTTTAGGGTTCAGGGTTTTAGGGTTTAGGGTTTTAGGGTTTAGGGGTTTTAGGGTTTTAGGGTTTAGGGTTTAGGGCTGCGTGTTGATGGGCCCGGCGAAGATGCCTTAGTAGCTGAGTGGATACACTTTTTGGGATAATACCACCAGGTAGGCCCGAAACCTAGCGTCCTCGAGTTTCATGACAGAGCTTTACTTAGTAGCTGAGTAGATACACTTTACACTCTTTGGGATGATATTACCCACTATAAACCGAAAAGTGCACACTTTTGGGGGCCTGTGATCTCAGCAACTAAGATGAGGTCCGACTACGAGTAATGTAGGGGCCTTAATAATTAAGATAGTGTTTTCGGGTCTCCTGTAACTAACTATGCTATAATATAATATACGCTTTAAGAATTAGAAAACGGTTTTCGGGTATCTATGTCACTACTGTAGCAAGATATACCCGCCAAGCCCTATTCTAATTTATTAAGGACCAGCTATGAGACAGTCCGACTGAGGAGCCTTCAGCAACGAACTCTTCGCGTTGATTTGGAGCATCACGACACCTTTGCTCAGCCCCAAAGCCCTCACTCTTAGAAGCTTTTGACCTGACGCCCGTAATTAAACCCTACCCTAACCCTGAAGGACCTACCTTTTTAAGGACGTATATAAATAAATCATATGAAGGAACCCTAAAAAGGTAGGTTATTCAGGGTTAGGGTAATTCCTAAACCCTAAATTTGCCCCTGCATCCGAAGTTGTTGAGCAGGCCCGCCTCGGCCGTGTCCACCACAGCGCTCTGGGAAGATGGGCCTTCGCTCGGCGATTTGCCGAGGACACCGCGCCTCCGAAGGCATCGGCGAAGAAGAACAGCGACAGTGTCTACGAAGTACGACGATATCGACGATTTGTTGACTATCTTTTGGAATCCTACATGTAATACTCACAGCGAATGAACCTGTAGCAGCACCGACAACACCAGAAACAACAGTTGAGCCAGCAAAAGACGGGTGGAAAGGCAACATGAGCCTCAGACCGTGCGATAGCTATATAACTAGGATCTCCAGTAGTACCCTTATTCCCTTTTTGTAGTCCTAGGTTCCTTATAAAGTTGCCCAATACCAAAAAGAGAGGCCTTTTTATTCTTAGGTTACTGGGTATCCTAGATAATATCCCCAAGATGCCCATACCTCGTGCACCATGCTGCGGGGTCGTGTCGGAGATGCAGTGTTCAAAGCAGTATTGGTTATCGGATGTCGCCAGCGGTGGGGGCCGAGACCCGTGTGTATTGCACGTGCCTTGTCCGTTATAGGGCCCAGACACCCCGACAGCGGCTTTTCTGATGATTTGTACAGTGTAATTGCTTCGAGGGCCTCCGAAAACAGCCGAGAACATATTTTAGAAGGCAGCTGAAGGCCTTCAGCCGCCGTGACCGACAGAAACCCGGTACCATCTGCGTGCTTAGGAGTTTTGTTTTCAGGCGGTCCGATTTCGGATAGTGTCGGATTTCGCGGTTTCGGGCTTAGGGTCCTGTTCCAATGAAGGCCGCTACATTCCCTAAACCCCTAAACCCCTAAACCCTAAACCCCCTAAACCCCCAAACCCCTAAACCCCTAAACCCTACACCCCTAAACCCCCAAACCCCTAAACCACTAAACCCCTTAACCCCCAAACCCTAAAGCCCTAAACCCTTTACTGGAGCTTGCTTGGGTTGGCCATGGCCTCAGGAATGCTTGGCTTGGTATGCTGGGCTTCGGAGTACCATACTTTAATACTGTTTTGGAACCTGTTACTTAAGGGGAACCGATTATGAAAGAAACGTCTATACTTTTTGCCCCTGGTTACTTCAAAGCCCAGTATATCGGAGCAGACCTTGTATTTTTATAGCCAGGTTG